GAGTGTGGGACTGAACCTATGCAGAGTGACTGCCTTGACTAATGAATAGCATCTTTCCATTGTAGGATTGTCCCTGCAGTTGCTTTGGCTCTTCCCTGTTAGCTCTGTTCCATCCATTGCAGCTTCCTGAATTCTTTCTCATTGCGAGAAAGTTCAAATTCCCTGTCCCAGTACTAGACCCGGTCTAAGTAGTTTATCTACAGCAGTCCTTTTCACTTGAAGGTATTGTCAAAGGACAAATGAAATCAATCCATCAGGTAGGTTTGAATCCAATTGGAGTTCTTTTGCTTCGCCCTGCTCCTGAAAAGTGCTAGTTCCCAGCCGAGCGAAGACTTTCTATCGATAGAGCAAATAGGTATGATCCAGGTGGTAATAGTTGCCATTTTGAGTTCCCTTCCCAGCAATGGGAGATCCAGTGCCTTTTACCAATAGGTAAGAGAATAAGAGATTCTTTCTTTTTCTTTGCTACGCACCTTGACTCGCTTTGTAACCCGGCTTGACGAGTCACTTTCCCTGGCTAGTCTAAAGAAGTCTGACAATGACATATCCCAGATTCTATCAAGTCAGCCTTCGTGGTAGTAGTTGAATTTCCCGTTTCTTGCCCAAAAAAAGAGAAGAGTAGCAAGCCTTGCCCCCAGGTAATCTCCTCCAGTTCCTTTGCAGGCGGTTGTTTGTTCTCTTGGCAACTATTGATCCAGTTTCATTTTGAGTCCCCAGTGATCCAATTGCTTTCTTTCTGTCAGCTATCTCTTTTTCAGCACTAAGGTAAGCTCATACAGTTTGACATTGCAGTTCTACTATTGGCATTGCTTCTCTCCTCTCTTCCATTCAGTGTGATGAGATAGAAATTGTAGTGCAAGGAATCCTGTGCTAAAGCCAATGATAAGTGCTTGAGGGAGTGACCCGAGGGTGATAGAATAAGCTGTTGTCGGAATAACTGGTAATATCATCGGTAAGAATTGAGCCTAGCGCCTCTTTCTTTTTTGTTGGAATAAGAGCTTCCTATACCTGCTCCATTGTCAAGCGTACTGAAAGAAACTGTTCACCTCTGGTTAGGGGCTTTTCTAGGACTTCTGCCTTCGATGGATGAGTTCTTCCATTCCGGGATTGAGTGGAAGTTTCCGTTGGATAAGGCGCTAGGTTGGATTACTGAGATGGATAATAAGAAAGGGAGATCCGCATTTCCATCCATTTGGTCTTGGTTAGCAGTGCCCTTTTTTATAGGTCAGTTTGGGGCTAGCTATATTGAGTTTATTTTCTCTTCCATTTTTCTAGAAAGTCTTTATATTCCGCTCTTGCGGTCAGATATATTGCCTCTCAGTTTTCTTAGTCTTGGACGTATGACTCTATGGAGAGTGAATTGATTCCCTTCGAGATTGGATTTATTTTCCACCTCTCAATCCTCTTTTGATCTCCGGGCTAGTGAAGAAAGCTCGCTTGTTTGAGAAGCCTCAGCCCATTGAATCTACTTGAAGTGCAAGTTGAAAGCCACCCAGAGGTAGTTCTCAGCCAGTGAGAAAGAAGATGTATTGAGAGTATCAAGCCCATTAGTTGGAGTGCTAGGAGAATACCTGATTTTGGATTGGAAAGTGCCAGTTTTTGTTCCGGATCCAAATCAGGTTCTTTTCTTCGCCGGGGTTTTTGCGGTTCCCCTTTTCCGTCAGTCGTCAGTTGGTCGACGTTATACCTTATCTATACCCACCCAACAGCGGCTACCTTCCCCTCCTACCGTGCGCATTTCCTACCCCTGTTGTCTTGTGTCCATTTTGAAAAAAGAAAAGTTTGAACCTTAACCGGCCTTCCTTTTCGAGAATATCCCAACATAAGGGCCAGTGCATCTCTTCAATTGGTACTTGTGGATGTCTTTTTTTCCCTTTTTCATACATACGATGGTTGGCCGCTGCTAGGATCCCTTCATTAGCTCTCTACTCCTTAGTTGTCGGATCTAGTAGTAGGTCTACCCGAAGACCGATTTCTTGAGTTTTTTTCTCTTGGCCGCTGGAAAACCTTTCGATCTTGGTAACAGGTCCATCTCTCGTACCAATGGCTCCTTTTGGCGCCTCACTTCAAAACCGAGGTGCGCAGCAAAGAGTTTCCTAAAAAAACAAGCCATCTTTTCATTTATGTCCCACCAATTTCGAGTTTTTCTGATTACGGTGGCCACTATTCAACTGGTATATGATGATCAAGAAAGAAATTGACATCGCAAGTCTACCTAGATGGTTTCGAAGGAGCTGGTGGAAGAAGTTTGGCTTATCTCCAGAAGCCATGACAGAGCTGGTCGGGTCACACTTCCTGGACAACAGGCAAAGTAGAGTTCCCTAGAAAACAAAAAAGCAATCTCAGAATTACTTCACCATAGGTCCCCCGCTGATGCCTCATTTGTTTGCCTCCTCTCTTTCTCTCACTTTCTTTAGCCAGCCAGACTGACTGCATTACTGTGGAGGGAAGTTTTTGACTTTCCTGAAGAGTGAAGGACGGAGAATGGCTCTTAAGGACTTCTAGTCAGAGTAGCTGCTCTTCTGGTAGTCTAGCTGGTAGCTCCGCTTAGGCTAGCTCTCTTCTTTCTTCTCTTCGCCCGGGAGGTTGGTAAAGTAGAAAGAGAAAGTCAAGGCTGTCGGCTCCTCTTTTCCAGGTTAGGTAGTCTGTACTTTTTCTCGAACATTTGACAGAAATAGCCATCTCTTACGTAAGCTTCTGGTAAGGGGAATGACTTTTCTTGGTACGGGCCCTAAGGTATTCAGTCTTTCAGGCTAGCCTTATGAGAGGATAGGATTCGTCTGAAAAGGAGTTGACTGAGTGAGTGTGGGACTGAACCTATGCAGAGTGACTGCCTTGACTAATGAATAGCATCTTTCCATTGTAGGATTGTCCCTGCAGTTGCTTTGGCTCTTCCCTGTTAGCTCTGTTCCATCCATTGCAGCTTCCTGAATTCTTTCTCATTGCGAGAAAGTTCAAATTCCCTGTCCCAGTACTAGACCCGGTCTAAGTAGTTTATCTACAGCAGTCCTTTTCACTTGAAGGTATTGTCAAAGGACAAATGAAATCAATCCATCAGGTAGGTTTGAATCCAATTGGAGTTCTTTTGCTTCGCCCTGCTCCTGAAAAGTGCTAGTTCCCAGCCGAGCGAAGACTTTCTATCGATAGAGCAAATAGGTATGATCCAGGTGGTAATAGTTGCCATTTTGAGTTCCCTTCCCAGCAATGGGAGATCCAGTGCCTTTTACCAATAGGTAAGAGAATAAGAGATTCTTTCTTTTTCTTTGCTACGCACCTTGACTCGCTTTGTAACCCGGCTTGACGAGTCACTTTCCCTGGCTAGTCTAAAGAAGTCTGACAATGACATATCCCAGATTCTATCAAGTCAGCCTTCGTGGTAGTAGTTGAATTTCCCGTTTCTTGCCCAAAAAAAGAGAAGAGTAGCAAGCCTTGCCCCCAGGTAATCTCCTCCAGTTCCTTTGCAGGCGGTTGTTTGTTCTCTTGGCAACTATTGATCCAGTTTCATTTTGAGTCCCCAGTGATCCAATTGCTTTCTTTCTGTCAGCTATCTCTTTTTCAGCACTAAGGTAAGCTCATACAGTTTGACATTGCAGTTCTACTGTTGGCATTGCTTCTCTCCTCTCTTCCATTCAGTGTGATGAGATAGAAATTGTAGTGCAAGGAATCCTGTGCTAAAGCCAATGATAAGTGCTTGAGGGAGTGACCCGAGGGTGATAGAATAAGCTGTTGTCGGAATAACTGGTAATATCATCGGTAAGAATTGAGCCTAGCGCCTCTTTCTTTTTTGTTGGAATAAGAGCTTCCTATACCTGCTCCATTGTCAAGCGTACTGAAAGAAACTGTTCACCTCTGGTTAGGGGCTTTTCTAGGACTTCTGCCTTCGATGGATGAGTTCTTCCATTCCGGGATTGAGTGGAAGTTTCCGTTGGATAAGGCGCTAGGTTGGATTACTGAGATGGATAATAAGAAAGGGAGATCCGCATTTCCATCCATTTGGTCTTGGTTAGCAGTGCCCTTTTTTATAGGTCAGTTTGGGGCTAGCTATATTGAGTTTATTTTCTCTTCCATTTTTCTAGAAAGTCTTTATATTCCGCTCTTGCGGTCAGATATATTGCCTCTCAGTTTTCTTAGTCTTGGACGTATGACTCTATGGAGAGTGAATTGATTCCCTTCGAGATTGGATTTATTTTCCACCTCTCAATCCTCTTTTGATCTCCGGGCTAGTGAAGAAAGCTCGCTTGTTTGAGAAGCCTCAGCCCATTGAATCTACTTGAAGTGCAAGTTGAAAGCCACCCAGAGGTAGTTCTCAGCCAGTGAGAAAGAAGATGTATTGAGAGTATCAAGCCCATTAGTTGGAGTGCTAGGAGAATACCTGATTTTGGATTGGAAAGTGCCAGTTTTTGTTCCGGATCCAAATCAGGTTCTTTTCTTCGCCGGGGTTTTTGCGGTTCCCCTTTTCCGTCAGTCGTCAGTTGGTCGACGTTATACCTTATCTATACCCACCCAACAGCGGCTACCTTCCCCTCCTACCGTGCGCATTTCCTACCCCTGTTGTCTTGTGTCCATTTTGAAAAAAGAAAAGTTTGAACCTTAACCGGCCTTCCTTTTCGAGAATATCCCAACATAAGGGCCAGTGCATCTCTTCAATTGGTACTTGTGGATGTCTTTTTTTCCCTTTTTCATACATACGATGGTTGGCCGCTGCTAGGATCCCTTCATTAGCTCTCTACTCCTTAGTTGTCGGATCTAGTAGTAGGTCTACCCGAAGACCGATTTCTTGAGTTTTTTTCTCTTGGCCGCTGGAAAACCTTTCGATCTTGGTAACAGGTCCATCTCTCGTACCAATGGCTCCTTTTGGCGCCTCACTTCAAAACCGAGGTGCGCAGCAAAGAGTTTCCTAAAAAAACAAGCCATCTTTTCATTTATGTCCCACCAATTTCGAGTTTTTCTGATTACGGTACCTTAACCGGCCTTCCTTTTCGAGAATATCCCAACATAAGGGCCAGTGCATCTCTTCAATTGGTACTTGTGGATGTCTTTTTTTCCCTTTTTCATACATACGATGGTTGGCCGCTGCTAGGATCCCTTCATTAGCTCTCTACTCCTTAGTTGTCGGATCTAGTAGTAGGTCTACCCGAAGACCGATTTCTTGAGTTTTTTTCTCTTGGCCGCTGGAAAACCTTTCGATCTTGGTAACAGGTCCATCTCTCGTACCAATGGCTCCTTTTGGCGCCTCACTTCAAAACCGAGGTGCGCAGCAAAGAGTTTCCTAAAAAAACAAACCATCTTTTCATTTATGTACCACCAATTTTGAGTTTTTCTGATTACGGTCAACTAACCGGCACTATAACTGAGCAAAATCTTCCTAAACTGATAAACAAGTGACTGGAATAAGAAGTGATCCGACAATCCCATGGGTGTCAAAATATGTCCATCAGAACGGGTGAAAGAGAACTGCCTTGTGGTATGCCCTTTTCAATAGCGGAGTCGCCCTTTCAGTCTTTCTCCATTCTATCTGTAGTAAGGAAAGCATGAAGAAGATTGCTTCAATCATAACAGAAAAAAGAAGATTCAAGGCTGAAAGAGGACCCTCTTTCCAAGACGTTTTGGTTTGCACTAAACCAAACCGTCTTTCTCGTTATTACAGAAAAAAAAAAGATAGATGACTGCCTCCGTGGGATTACCGCCTTTTCGATCAAGCGGGTAAGGCGCTAGAAATGCCCCACAGGAATGTACTGAAGGTCCCTTTGGTTCGCTGTCCGGGGCGGGGAATGGGATAACGAGAGGAACATAGAAAGAAAAAGAGACTTTCTCTTACTATTAGGTAATGATAGTCGACGACTCGAATCCTTACTTATATATATCTTTCTATATCCCGCAAATAATCCATCTTGAGCAGCTGCTCAGAATAAGGGTGAAGTCAATGGATTGACATAAAGTTCACTCGTTGGTAGATGAGTCACGACTATATCCTTATTAGTAGAGTCTCCTTCTTACTTCTTACTAAACTAAAGGTCCTCTGATGTGCTTCGAACTACCATCAAACAAATTTTCAGACCGGATCTACAGGGAGATATATAGAGTCACTCTCCCCTGACGTAATAGGGTAACAAAATTTCTTGCATCTAGCGCCTTTTTCAAAATCCAGATCACTTCAACATGTTGGAGCTAGACGCTTCTCGAAGCCGTCACACAATTATGCAACTCACTCGGCCCTCATGGCCCGCATACACATATACATCTTGCTGGATCGGGAGATCGCATCTCCTCCAAGCAATAAGAAAAAAGAGAAAGAGGATCCAAGGCTATCTTCACTGCTACTCTAAGCAGCATCTACGAAACCTAACACCCTCATCGGCGTCCTGGTAACACAACAAACAAATAGCACTATGTGCCCTTCAGACACTAAAAAATCCCTTGAATGGTTCACTATAGAGTTCTACCTAGATCACCAAAACCACGACATTCAGAAATATGTCATGGCGTTCCAAAGAAACTATATACATGAGGCAAGCCATCGCATGGGCAAACGCGACCCTAGTCACAACCACCTTTCACCTTTGCCTGATCCGTCTAAGGACACTTTCAGTCACTCAACTCCTAGTAGCAATGGGTCAATCAATATGTCAAGACACCTTCCAAATAGATCTAGGCCTCAAGATAGACGAAAAAGATGCTAAAGTCAAGAAGGTCCCTTCACCATCTATCCCATCCATTTGAGTGAACTTTGACGGCTACGAGGTTATCCTAGAGATACACATAGCCAATATGCACTGTTTTGAGTGAAAAGAAAAAGACTTCAAAAACAAATTCGTCTGAGTCAAAAGAAACTCAGGAGAATCATCCCCCGGTTCAAACTCGAAAACGAGAACTCCTGCCAGATGCTGGGGTTATTGGAAGAGCTCTCCCACTAACGTTGGCAACCGTGGGCACGCTCCCACTATAACCAACGACCGGAGGGATACTCCCACTGACTGGGAGCATCACATCAAATTTGACCATCTCATCAGATTCACCCTAAAAAAAACGACCACTCAACTAAGCCCACGGAGCGGTCATTCTCATTCATTTTCTCTCTTTTTCCAAAGTCAAAAAAAAAGGTACAAGACATTGAGAAAGGCAAGAGTTTTGATTTTTCCAAAAGAAAAAGGCGCTAAACACCTTTCTTTTAGAAAAATATGGCAAGGGATGAAGACGCAAGTCGCGGAACCCCATGTTCTCGAAGTTCTTCAAATCGAGCTTGTGACCCGTCCACTAATCATGGGACCCTTTTGCATATATAGAATAAGAACCCCATGTGACATACAAGTCACAGTGTGCAAAGCGTCTAACCTATTCACTCATGGGCTCATAGGTATTGGAGTGCAAAGTCTCAAACAACGCACTCGATCAGCCAGACTTAGGGAATGGACTCTTAGTCACTGTTTCAGACAAACAATATCCGCACAGGGGAGGTCGTCGTACTTATCTCAGGACTCTAGGTGTTTGATCCCATCTATTCTAGCCATCCACTCTTTGAGCTTCTAATAAGAAGTCAGAAACTGCACTACGAAGATATCCATTGTCTTTGAGAACGTTAGAAAAACTTTCAAAACTATGCTCGTGATGCTTGCTTGAGCCCAACAATTGCCTTTTCTTTTTTAGCTTACAGACTCTTGTATGTCCTTTTCGCTGAAACCAGGTGGTTGTTCTCTTTTTTAGGCACATTGCTGCAGAAGTGATTAGGCACGTTGTAGGTGATGGAAGGAAAACTAGACTGTGGACTGATCCGTGGTTGTCCCAGGGAAGAATTGTAGATGTTGTTGTAAGGAATGTGATGCTTGACTTTGGTTAAAGAGACTCTTTGGTGAGTAGATTGAGAGTGAATGGACAGTGGGCCCTCCCCTTTCACCTCAACTCTGGCTCAGCTGTGGGAAGAGAGAAAAAGGGTGGAACTTCCTGCCCGAGGTACACAAGATCAGGTTGTGTGGAGCAAGGAGGCGTCGGGGGAGTTTTCTATTGGTCTGCTTGGAATGTTATCAGACGCAGAGGCCATCCAGTTGAATTGTTTTTCAGAAAGAAATATGACAGACCAAAAGAGGCCTGTTGTGCATGGCGAGTTATGAATGCGGTGAGGCTACTGATGTAGACTGTTTAGCGGTTAGCTGCGGGTAAAGGAAACATAGACCGAGGACCGGTAAGCGGATTCAAAGTTCACTTATGAAAGCAACGGTTAGGGCAGCGGGGGTAGCAGTTTCAGACGAGTAACTCAGTCGTGTCTGAATTCCCTTGCTTCGCTCCGCGCCTCCGGTTGTATGTTAGACTAGCAGGCGCAACGTGAAGGAACGACTCGTCCTTCGCTACGGCCTGCTGTGTCAAATGTATGATAGGCTGCGAACGACGCCTAGGGTTTATCCCGGTAGGTTCTTCAGAGGTCTGTGTATCTCAAGTCAATCCCCTTTAGCAAGGCGCTAGCTTACCAAAAAAGATGCATATACAGTTGTCGAGGCAGTTCACAATTTCATACCTTCGTAGCCTAAAATCAATTTGAGTACCGGAGCGGGAAAAACATTGCTGACTCAGCGATAAACTAATGTCTCAACAGGGGAATCACCTTGGAAAACAAAAGAAGTAGTGGAAGGGGGGCTGTGGTGGGTTCGATTCTCATTGATGGCACCGCAGGAGAGGTTTTCATTTCAGACGTATGCTGCATGCAATTCGATGCATTTTCCAATCCGGATAAAAAAATCCACAGTTGTGGCCTGGTCTCCTTCGAGATTTTTTGACGTATGCAGTCATCGAGTACTGTAAGCCGTTTACAGAGAAGATTTTCTCTCTCAGTCCGCCCATACAGTTGTGGCACATGAATGCCAAACAAAGAGAAGAACTACTAGAAAACAACGGGTTGTATGCATCAGTCAGAAGAAGAAGCAAAAGGGCAGTGCCTACAAAGCCATCCAAGTCGAAGCATCGGTTGACGTCGGTATAGGATCGTTGGCTGAACCAAGAAAGAGTGCTACAAGGGTTGTAGACGAGAGAGAGGGTGTCCATGACTAGAAGGAGGTCAATCAACAGAAATCGTCTTTCATCCGTTTTGAAAACAAAACGATCAGATGGATAAGCAAATAGATCTTATCTTCCACCTATCAACATAGAGCACAAAGTCATTTGATCCATATCAAGAAGGCGATTTCTTTCTAGTTTCCGAGAGTCAGTGGTCTCAGGTTGATTAGAGCACTTTTCTTTCTAAACATGATCTACAGCAAGCCCGGTCGGTGGAAAGAAAGCAGACTTTCTATCATCTCAAAGAGATGGTCTGTGATCAGGAAGGCGCCGCTAGATGTTTCACACAAGCAAGTCGCCTACTCATATTCAAAAGGCGCTACTGAGAAAGTAAAGTGGAGCACCCGGACCGTATCCGCCCGGATGACAAGATCTGATGTCAAAGAGGGGTTTATCGCAGGCATGGCTTTCTCAAAGAAAAAAGAAATGACAAAAGCAAAAGACAGAGATGAAAGAAGGACCAACGACGATCCTATACTAAAGGCGTTAGATAAGGAGGAGGAGTAGGAGGAGCTTTTTTCATTGAAGTAGAGACAGAATCGAATGATGACGAGAGAGAATGAGAAAAAGCCTAAAGGGGAGAGCACTTCTCAATTTCACTTTGAGTACGGGGAAGTCCGCAGGGAGGAATTCATCTGGGCGTATTACAGTTTTTCACCGAGGGGGTGGATCGAAGCGATTGCAGCGAAAAATTGACCTGAAACGAAGCACTTCGTCTATGGGCATTGTAGAAAGGATCGAATATGACCCTAATCGTTCTTCTCGGATCGCTCTAGTACGATGGATCGAGGGGGTGCTGCTACGCCGCCAGAGGAAATGCAACACGAACACGATAGAAGAGTTCGCTCCGCCGCGTCAGATCCTCGAATCTACCACGGCCACCATCTTTTGCCTATTTTCGTTATCTTCCCTGCCCCGGAAAGTGGATCAAAGAAAGGTAGCTTGCTCCCAAGCCAAGTGCTTGCTTACGCTTTAAGTAGTGGTCGGCGTTCCTTCCTTCATGCCTCCTTGGACGAAGAGCCAAGGAAGCAAACAAACTTGCGCGAAGGACGTTTTCTTCTCTGCCCTGCCCTCTCCCTTGGCCAAGGGAGAGACTGCATTCCTTTCCTTCGGTAGCTCTTTGGCTTTCCCAAGGATAGCGATAGCTGGGGCAAAGCCCGCTTTCTTCGCTCCGCGAATGAGAGAGAAACTCAGAGGAAAAAAGACGGTTTCTCTTTGCGAGATCCGAAAGGGGAGAACGCATTGCGTTCTCTGGGCACATAGGATCAAACGTCAAGCAGCGCTTTCTTGGCAAAGTTTGAGGCAGCAAGAAAATTTAGGGCTTGTTGGAGCTGCTGAGCAGAACGAATCGAAGCCGAAGGCGGATCAAGGTAGCTTGCCTGCCACGAATAATGGAGCGTGCAAAGTCGATCGTGCACCTGTCGTGTGACCCGTTGGTCCTAAGCAATGTCTTTCGCGAAGCGACCCACCTAGAATCTCCTTTTAGGGAGGCACTAACATGGAACTTCGATCTGATGCGGCAAAGAGATGGTCTGTGATCAGGAAGGCGCCGCTAGATGTTTCACACAAGCAAGTCGCCTACTCATATTCAAAAGGCGCTACTGAGAAAGTAAAGTGGAGCACCCGGACCGTATCCGCCCGGATGACAAGATCTGATGTCAAAGAGGGGTTTATCGCAGGCATGGCTTTCTCAAAGAAAAAAGAAATGACAAAAGCAAAAGACAGAGATGAAAGAAGGACCAACGACGATCCTATACTAAAGGCGTTAGATAAGGAGGAGGAGTAGGAGGAGCTTTTTTCATTGAAGTAGAGACAGAATCGAATGATGACGAGAGAGAATGAGAAAAAGCCTAAAGGGGAGAGCACTTCTCAATTTCACTTTGAGTACGGGGAAGTCCGCAGGGAGGAATTCATCTGGGCGTATTACAGTTTTTCACCGAGGGGGTGGATCGAAGCGATTGCAGCGAAAAATTGACCTGAAACGAAGCACTTCGTCTATGGGCATTGTAGAAAGGATCGAATATGACCCTAATCGTTCTTCTCGGATCGCTCTAGTACGATGGATCGAGGGGGTGCTGCTACGCCGCCAGAGGAAATGCAACACGAACACGATAGAAGAGTTCGCTCCGCCGCGTCAGATCCTCGAATCTACCACGGCCACCATCTTTTGCCTATTTTCGTTATCTTCCCTGCCCCGGAAAGTGGATCAAAGAAAGGTAGCTTGCTCCCAAGCCAAGTGCTTGCTTACGCTTTATGTAGTGGTCGGCCTTCCTACCTTCATGCCTCCTTGGTCGAAGAGCCAAGCCTGCGCAGGAAGCAAACAAACTTGCGCGAAGGACGTTTTCTTCTCTGCCCTGCCCTCTCCCTTGGCCAAGGGAGAGACTGCATTCCTTTCCTTCGGTAGCTCTTTGGCTTTCCCAAGGATAGCGATAGCTGGGGCAAAGCCCGCTTTCTTCGCTCCGCGAATGAGAGAGAAACTCAGAGGAAAAAAGACGGTTTCTCTTTGCGAGATCCGAAAGGGGAGAACGCATTGCGTTCTCTGGGCACATAGGATCAAACGTCAAGCAGCGCTTTCTTGGCAAAGTTTGAGGCAGCAAGAAAATTTAGGGCTTGTTGGAGCTGCTGAGCAGAACGAATCGAAGCCGAAGGCGGATCAAGGTAGCTTGCCTGCCACGAATAATGGAGCGTGCAAAGTCGATCGTGCACCTGTCGTGTGACCCGTTGGTCCTAAGCAATGTCTTTCGCGAAGCGACCCACCTAGAATCTCCTTTTAGGGAGGCACTAACATGGAACTTCGATCTGATGCGGGTATCCAATCCCGCCGCTGAGATGTCCAGCGGATTCCGGGGCCTTGACGAATGGCCGGCCACCATTGTTGTTAGAAGAGCAAAAGGCCCGGGGCATAGCAGGATGAACCAATGTGAATGAGTGTCAGCTTCGTTGCCCGAACACGATTGGTGCTGACCACACTAGGTGCTACCGTGGTAGCAAGAGAGGCCAGGCGGTGACAATTGAGAGGTTGTCACTGAGCATTCCGTCTCACACGGGAAGAGAGGTCAAATGGCAAGGCAAACATACGCCCGTGTGGCTCCTCGCGGAGTATAGCTCACATCCAAACATCTGATTGGGGAACGGGGCAACGCCCATGAAGCTCCGGCGGAAAGGGAAGGCCTGCCAGGCCGTATGCCCATGGGTGCAGGATTCTTCGAAAAAGCGCGGGCTGACTCGGAGACCTGGGACCTTGGCTTAGCAACGAATGAAGGTTCGCGAAGCGAATTCGAGCTTTCCCCTAAGCGGCTTATATAGTGGTCGGCCAACTAAAGCTCGCTAAGCTTTGATTCTTGTAGTCGTAGTCTTGTAGTCGGCCCTCCATGCCTCCCTTCATTTGCTTGCCTCCTTCCAGCCCAGAATGCCTACTGACGTGAAGCTAACCTAAGAAGCTCACCCTTCGGGTGTCGCTGGAAGCGCAGGAGGCCAAGCATTCCGCCAGACGTCCCGGCCTGGGAGCCCCGTTCGCCTTTACAAGAGTCTTGAGTTTTTCAGTAGCTCAGTTTCAAAAGCAAAGGTTAACAGCCCCCTGTCCTTTAGATTTCTAGTAGTCAAGGTGCGTAGCAAAGAAAAGTCAGGAAGGAGGCATGGGGGTGGGAAGGCCGACGACCACTACACTACACGGAGAGATCTCTATACCAAGTCATGAGCGATAGCGAAGCCAAGCCGCCTATAGGCGCGGGGACGAAAGCCCGGCAAAGGTTAGACCTGATGGGAAAAAGCACGAAAACAAAAGTACGTTAAGGTGACGAAAGAAATCACTTAGCCGAGCCGAGGCTAAGGTTATGTAATCAAAGAGTTGTTTTAAGGTAAGTGAAACTCAGGAACTGGCTTAGCTGTTCTACAAAGGAGAAAAGCTAGGGTGACAGAGTCACTTATCCGTCTACAAAGGGAAAGGCGTCGGTACGGAGTCACGTCAGCTGTGGATATAGACTAGGCTAAGGAACGGAGTCTGAAATGAAAGTCTTCACCGAGACTACACTAAGGAAGAAGTCCGCGAAAGTGAGCTCGTCACTAAGAAAGCCGGTATCAGAAACGAAGCCCTCTATAAAAAAGAAAAGAAGTCAAAGAACGAAGTCTCTAATAGCCCCGTTGAATAGGAGGGCGAAGCGAAGGCTTTTTCATTTTGATAGAGGGGGGCTGAGACCTTCTTAGGAAGAGCCGTACGAGGCGGCTCACGTACGGTTCGGGAGCCGAGCCACTGCACAGGGGCTTAGGTCAACACTTATATATTAGCCAGTCATCGATTGGAAGCGGGTCAGATGGTGATGAATTGCGATTGGTCCAAACCTTCTAAAAGCGGCTTCTTGCGACCTGCCCAGAATGCCCATACATACCGTCGGTTCCAAGACCTTGTTCGCACAGCGAATCAAGATCGGGTTTCAGGGGGCAGTCAGCTGGCTGCTTCTTGGCCACGCCCCCCTGCTTATAGATACGAGATACTTGATCTCAATTCTCAAGTAGGAAATTGCATACCATTAGCTGATATACGTATGGGAACATTGGTACATGATATTGAATATCATCCAGGTAAAGGCGCAATGCTGGCTCGAGCCGCAGGAACTTCTGCTAAAATAATTAAGGAGCCAGCCTCACAATGTCTTGTGCGGCTACCTTCGGGTGTTGAAAAACTCATAGATTCCCGATGCCGAGCTACTATTGGTATAGTTTCCAATCCCCACCATGGTGCACGTAAGCTTAGAAAAGCAGGACAAAGCCGGTGGTTAGGCAGACGCCCCATTGTTCGTGGTGTTGCAATGAATCCAGTGGATCATCCTCATGGAGGAGGTGAGGGGCGCACGAAAGGAGGTAGACCTTCGGTGTCACCTTGGGGGAAGCCCACCAAAGCAGGATTTAGGGCAGTAGTGGGGGTGGGGAAACGCAGAATTTAGTTCATGCCACGACGATCTATATGGAAGGGCAGTTTTGTTGATGCATTCCTGTTGAGAATGAAGAAGAACAGAGAAAGTCTTTTGAGCAGGAAAATTTGGTCACGTAGATCTTCTATTTCGCCGGAATTCGTTGATTGCTCCGTACTCATTTACAATGGAAAAACTCCTGTTCGTTGTCGGATCACTGAAGGAAAGGTTGGTCATAAATTTGGAGAGTTTGCTTTTACACGGAGACGAAGACCTTCGAGAACAAAGAAAGGAAAGGGAAGAAAGGGGAAAAAGGAAAGTCTCAGCGTCATATGGCACGAAAAGGAAATCCGATTTCGGTCAGACTTGATCTGAATCGTAGTTCATATTCAAGTTGGTTCAGTGAGGGCGACCGCGAAAGTCACCGATTAGTATTGTCCCTGCTTAGTCCCCTAACGTGGTAGGACGTGGACGGACACGACTTCTTCTAACGTTTGAAGACCAAAACCCGGGACCAGAGCATGTCGTGAAAGAGGCACACTGGGCGGGCGAGCTTCGACCGTGTCTCCGGGGCACAGTGGAATATAGAGATCATGAACGCGAGGTGCAGGATACCAGGCCGAGAAACCCGGGCAAGCACTCCCCTAATGTGCCGATCGCTAGCGCATCCAGGGCCCGGCGCCCAGCTCCGCTGGAGAGGCCGTCACTGATCTGAGAAGTGCGTCTTCAGTTCGGATAGACTGATTCTGCGAACGCCTCGCCCCAGGCGCTAGATAAGAAAACAAGTGCTCCGTTTCTTTCATTTCAGATCAGTGAAGAAACCGAAATCAGAGACTTTTCTCGCTCTGCGCCGCACTATGCTCCGCTTCCACAAATGAGAGTTTTCGGTGGAACCGGTGAACCACGCGAGCTGGTTAGATGCGTGGGACAGAAGGCTCGTAGTACCTGAGAGCGCTGCTATGCAGTGGAAGGAGCCTAAATCGACCCCCCTTCTTTCTTTTTTCTTTCAAAAAAAAGTACAAAAAGATTGGACTCTCGGATGAGACTAAGCAGCTACCGTTCCGACGCGCCCCTGACCCTATCTTTCTTCAGACCATCTCTAAAGTGGAGCCTAGTTGAAGCTATCATTTCAATCATAGAATAGAAGAAAAAAGAAAATTTTAGGGATATCAATGGAGTCTCGCTAAGTCAATAGAGTTGTAGATTCGTAGAATAGGATCAGAGTACGCGCGCTACAAAACGCAGCCAGCCAGTTCTTTTTAGTGGAAAGAAGATAGTACTTTAGTACTGACCCCTCCGGGTCCCCGGTTGCTTTGGCGCGCCTCACCCCAACGTGAGAGTCTTGCCTTTTCAGCCTACGCTTGCTGCTTGCAGCATGGATTCTTTAGATCTTTCGAAGCGTTTTGCCAATAGAGCGAGGGCGTCCTTGACGGGTGGGGCGTTGACTTTCCAATGAGAACCGCCTGTTCCTGCAGCGGGGGCGTTGCACGAAACCAAACCGCCCCCCGACCAATTCAGTACCAGTTGCTTCGCTGGTATGCCCACTTAGGTTAGGGGGGCATTGTCCCTCAGTTCTGACCAACCTAAGATGTGTAATCGACATAAC